TTGCCATTTATTTTTTTTCGTTTGGTGCAGTCCAAGTCCATCTCCGCTCGCATCTTTTCGGAACCAGGTGTTGCCAACAAACAGTTTGTTCGCTTCCACCACTATAGCTAGCCTATTACTTCTATCGCTCATTTTGCCAATGACGTATATGCCTACATACTTCTCTCCATCCTCCCATCCTCTTCCGGGCTTTGCATTAAAATACCCCGTAACAGCCCTCGTATGACGACTGATGTCGATTCAAACTCAGCATAGAACTCTTCCACCTCATCGTCATCGCAGGATATGATGGGACTTTAGAATTAGACGATTTAGACGGTTTTACTGAAATCTACGCCGATTCATAGTGAGCGGAGCTTACAGGAGACGATTTCTGAAGACCACTGCCTGTTGACGTAAGCTCGACTCCACCGACGTTTCTTTGCCTCTCTAGTACCAAGCAAAACCGTTTTTCTATCCCTCCAGATTAAGATATGTTCGGTCCTACGATGTGTTTCAACCACACTACGGACGTCGCATGATGTCCTACCAATTTCCTGGAAAACATGGTTCATAAGTTCACACGTCGACAGCGACCTACAGTTGTAAGATCATATCGCGAGGTCTAGGCCATTCCATGGTGGCAACCACTTAACACCTGAAATTTTTGGCAAACTTTTGCCTCCGGTTGCCGATCCGACGCCGAAGGCCGGGCCGAAGGGCGCGTAGGGAACTGGTTTACAATCTTTCATCTCATTAATGCTTTTATTTGTTTAGCGTACGTTAATTTTTTGTTTGCATAGTTGCTTGACCTTTACTGTATTACCAACCGCTAGTCAGGCTGACGTTAGTTCGAACTACTCAAAATTAGCCGGACGGATGCGGTGCAGTAACCTTCCCAACATGCTTGAAGCTCTCAGGGCTGTACCACGTCGTTCTTCGACACTGCTTGCCACTCTCGCACTACGACTGAGGCCCTAGTTTGGATTTTGTAGGAGTTTTTTTTTTCCTTTTTTTTTGAATTATAGCAAAACATCTAGCGTTTTGCAATCAGTGAGTGCACTCTTTTGAAGCTAGCTTGCATTTGCCAAATTGATTTAATGCATTTTTGGAAAGATTTTGTATTTTCATGTTCCACCGAGTGAATTCTGCGCTTTTGGTGCGTGCTCAATTTCTCGCACTCCCTTCTCTTCGGTTAATCAGTCCCAATTTTCCCCACCAGATTGCAAGACCTCTTCGCTCGGACAAATCACTGGGCTCAATACGTATTGCAAAAATAATTGGTGAGGCGGCCAATTCACCTGTACTCTTTAGTGGCCAATTCTCCATTGATGAAGACTTTCATTGTTGGATATTTAGTCACATAGTATTTATCAGCGACGCTTGCCTGCAAGCAATTTTACCTTACTATTAAAACTGTGCCAGTTCCAGACGCAAATCTGAACTCCACTTGATTACCTGGAACGAGATTACCTGCTTAACGCTATCCACAAGAGCCCAAACAACGTTTGCCGTTGGGTTTTCTTTCGCAAATTCTTTAGCTGCTTCCTCAAAAACTGGTTTAAGTCTTTGGCTGAACGGACACCAATCGGCGCAAAATGCGACAAACACTACCTGGAATGAAGATAAGCCAACAAATCCGGGAGAGCAAACGCGAGTTAACGACAAATACTCAATGTGATAACGGCAGTATCTGCTGACGAGTCGGCATCTTGGTCCAGCAATTAATAAAGCTCCAATTTCATCCGGCTATATGGTCCTCTCTTTGAAGGCTGTTTCTGATGACGGTTTTGGCTCTCAAGCTTCTATCTACCAAATGATATGGGAGTGATTTTCCTGACGCAGCCGCTGAAGAACAGCGCAAAACAGCCACTGAAACTAAAAAATCCTATAGTACCAACGACCCCGGCCTCCTTGAGTATCGCTTGTTACGTGGTGCCGCCAGTTCCAGACCGGACGACAGTAGCTCAGTTTTGTTCTCCGCTCCCTCGGAAGTG